TTTTCTAGCTAAAATATCTCTTGAGATCTTGTAAACAAAGTGTGCAAAAGTTTCCTCTTGGTTCAGACCAGTTTGATTTTAAAGGGATCCAGAAATGGGCTTCATCAATGCTTCCAACGGATAGAAGGCAGCTGAAGAGTCAACTAGCCGTTGGGGCTGTCGGACGTCCGACGATTGAATCATCGTCCGAACCAATCGTCCGATGATAGCCAAGTTGAGGTTCGGACGTCCGATGAGTTTTTGTCGTCCGACAGCACAGCGTCCGACCTTGGGCCGAGAGCTAGCAAGTTATCTTGGAATTTTTTCGGACGTCCGATCAGGTTGATATGCGTCCGAGGTGTGCGTCCGATCCTTCCGGACGTCCGATGCTCCCATATGAGCGTCCGACAGAGCTTCCTTCCTGATGTTCTTCATCCTTTCGGACGTCCGACAGATTCCTTTCGGCCGTCCGACCTGATTGTCCTGTTTTTGCTTCTCCTTTTTGGTTGATTTGCATCTCATGACATATTCGTACCTGATTCTTTGGTAGACAGAAACACTTATATTTGAAGAAAGTTAGAATAACAAAGACCTGATCAAAGTGTTCACTTTCTTGGTCTGTATAAACAAACTTTTGTGATCATCAAAACCAAGAATAACACATGTGTTCTATTTTTACAAGAAAGCAAATTAGGATACATGATGTAACTAGCTTATAAACATCATCAATTTGTAACACTCAATATTTGAAGCAAATACCATAGTTTAACTATAATGACCCAACCCGACCTTATTAGAAATAGGTGGATTGCTACTTGATTGGCTCTTACGAAGGTTCAAAAAGCTAAAATCTTAAAACTTATACATTTAAAAATTCTCAAATCCTCATAGAAATCAATTTTCTAATAATACAATAAAACTTATACAAAATTGCTAGAGAATAATACAAGCTTAAATCTTCAATTAAGTTCCTATGCATGGAATCCCTAGTTCTTGATATGTTGAAGCAATCCATCACTTGAAAATGCTCTTGATGATACCACTAGTTGAATCTCCTCTTCTAAAAACATTTCTTTTCCAAAACTTGATGAGCTAATGCCCAATGAGCCTCTTGTGTCTGCAAATGACATTTAATAAAACCATTAACAAATCATGACATAGATTTAAAATTTATCTATCAAATATTTTTTCAAAATTTTCAAATACCTTCACAAGATTAAAGGTCAAGCAATAAAATATTTTACCACAAATATCAATCAGATGGATTTTACCAAAACTTGATCGGTCTAGCCGATTCAAACAAAAATCCATATAACTACACAAATTGTGCACATGAATTGATACTTACACAACACACTGAATTTTGCTACACGATAGCCAACAATAGAATGGAATACCTGGAATATCCCCAAAAAATTAGATCATACCACAAGATCAAACTTCTTGATCTTGTCAAATGGGGGTCATTACTTATCGTCAACCTAATACTTTCCTGACTTTCATAAGTCAACACATGAAGGGCCCAAAAACTCTTCGGCATGGGCGGGTTGACAGCCTCCCCAGAAGTTTATTTTTGGGTTCACAAGAACATACACAAAACAAAGCAGTATACTTAAATTACTTGAATAACTTTTGGATTCACAAATCAAATTTACTAATCCCTTCATGAATAAAAAATTTCACAAATATTTATAGTTTCATAAATCTTTGAAAATTGAAGCAAAAATGATTTGCACAATAATCCATGAGTTATAAAATTCATAGTTAAAAATTACTCCCTCCGTCCCGTTTTGTTAGTCTTGGTTTTTTTTTCACACCGATTAAGAAAGTGTAATTAATTTGGTTGAAAACATAAATTTAGATTAATAATTTCCTAAAATACCCTTATGCTAATCACGAAGAGTGCCAATTAATATCAGTTACAGCTAATGGGTTAGTATTGGAAAAGCTCAATGTATTCAATGTAGTGGGTTAGTATTTAATAACAATGTATTAATAACAAGATATTTAATAAGGGTATTTTAGACAATTTGAAAGATTACTACATTTCTTAATGGGAAAGTGGACTACAATTTGGTACAGACGAAAAAGGAAAACAAGACTATCAAAGTGGGACGGAGGGAGTATGAAATCTCTATCACATATTTCAAGATCTGAAATTTCACCAAATACATGTTTCTGGTTTTAAACATAATTTGGCAAAAATAGTATCAAAACTTATTTGTAAGCACATGAATTTCAAATAAACTTTTGAAATGAGTACTGACAATCAAATTCTGGACTTAATTTCTTCAATGGAACCAGATGCCTATTCATTATAATCTTCTACTACTGACAGTCTTCTTTGAGCCTTTCTTTCCTTTTCTCTTATAAGCTCTTAGTCGTTCAATTACATTTATATAGCGGTTATTTCTCCCACTTCCATCAATGAGAGTCATAAAAATTTGATAATCCCTTAGCCCTTTATCTCTATCTCATTTATTAATTCCTATCCCTTCATAAAGATTCTAAACTCTTCATTTACTTAATCATTAATACATAAGTCACAAAACTTCTCGTCTTCACACACAATCACTAGCTAATAAGTTACAAAAGCTTCACAACTTTATATACATTTTTCTTAGATTTATAGATAACTTAGACATTAATAAGTTAATTAACTCCCCGAAAAACCATTATATTGAAATTAAAAATTTTTTAATGTCTTGCATATCAGTGACAAAAAGAAACTTAACAAGATATGTTCATGCTTATCTAGTTTTTAGTTTTAGTACATAATCAATACTCATCATACTACTAATTAGTTCTTAAACCTTGTCTAATTTCCTTTAAAACTAATTTCTACCTAATCACGCAATTCATTAATTCAAACTTATCCATTCAATTACTTAATACTCAATCCATACTATATAACAAAAAAGTTCAGCCATTGTATTTCTCTACAAGAAGAAGAAATGATGTGAGCATGCGTGCTGTTAAAGGTGATCCAATGTGGTTTCTCACAAATAAAGTTACCAGAGCAAGAGTTATAAAGCTTAAAGGGGCATTTCGAGCTCTAGTGCAAGTTGTCAAGACTAAAATGGAGTGTCGTGATCCATTGAAATGCTTAGGTTGGGTGAAACAATCTTTATTAATCTCATTCACATTGATCAAACTGCATCGGATCCCTAGGGTTCATATATCTAGTTGTGATTTGTAGGTTCATATCAAGGGCGCCCAATTGAAGTAGATCAAATTTTGCTGTTTGGAGTCATTTTAGCTTAGTATTCTTAGCTTCATTTAGTCATTATGTTGGAATAAATTGGGCCAGCTTTCATGTAAGTTGGATCCACTTAGTTACTTGGTTTATTGAGTTTGTTTGGGCCTTGAGTTAAGTTAATTTTGGTCAGCTTATGTTCTAAGTTGGCCTTAATTAGCTCGTTAGTTGGTTAGTTAAGTAGTTTAATTTTGGCCCGTTTGGTTTTGTAATTTGGCTATAAATAGCCAACTTTTGCAAGCATAATACACGATTATTGAGAATTTTCCAGCAGCTAGTTTCTTGAGTGAAACACTTCTTTTGGCCTGTGAAAACTACTTTTGAACATCTTAGAATAGTTTCTAAGTTGTTTATTGACTTATCAATCACGTAGTCACCTTGATTATGGCATCGTCTACCAATTTATATGCTCTTGTACGGTCTAAGATTGTCTAGATTTTTGCTGCTCAAACTTAGATACCATTTAATGCTGGATCCAGGGATTGTGTGTTACAAGTTACATATGAAATAAGGCATAATCCATGTAAAAAATATTCCAAACATGACAATCTCAAACTAATTTACTTAAAATATAAATTCGAAAATACTAGGTGTCACAATAACTTTTGAAAACATACCACATTGTAAATATAGTTTTCCTTCTACTTTTAAGAGTTATCATCTTTATTGTCTAAGGTAGATATTAGCTTTACCTCTTCCTATTATTCTTCATCTACTTTACAACTAGTGGTGTGACTTTGACTTTGGTAAATTAGAACTCCAATCCATTCAACTTTCCAATCTATCAAAGCATTTTGAGTGGTCAGTTTCCATAAGTAACTTGAGGATGGATTATCTTGACTTAAGAAAATATCTATCCTTGAAATCTACTCTCAAACTACACAAATTTTAAACAAAAATACTTTGTACAAGTATATATTAGTAGTATGAAAGAATGTCTTGTATAACCTTGCACAAATAGTAACAATAACATGCAACTTATATGTCATGAACAAGCAAATTCAAAACGATAATATTGCAGTTTTTTATTGACAATCTATTGAAAGTTTAAAGCATTATCCATGTCACATTCTTTCCAAAATAATAGTAGGCAATGAACCACAATTTTTTTGTATGCACTTCTTTATTTGACTAATCATCTTTAAATGGATCGTACAAGATCAAGCACAATCATATATATTTTCAAGAGATACAAGCACTAACAAGGCTAACAAGCACACTTATGTTCATGAACAGAAACCAAATTGATAGTCCTTAAATCTCACATTCATAATATTTTTATAAAGATTTGAAACTTTTCTGTAATTATTATACATTGAAACAGCACATAAAATGGTTTTATTCCCTTAAAAAAATTGAAAGGTAGTCTCTTGTTATTAAAACTAGAGTAGGTCTTTTATTATTATCTTCTTTTTTTATATATATAAAGATTATCAAATTTTTATTAATATGAGGTAATACATGGATGAAAAAGTACACGAGTAAAAATCTCACAAACTACTAACTCTCCGCATACGGAATGAAGGAAAACCTAGTTTATCCAACCTGATGTCCCCTTTAACCAGCCGAGGCAGTTCTGAAAATCGGTTAAACACCTGTGTTGTGGTTGAGTCGGCACCGAAGTTTGCCAGCCGATCAGCTGGCTTATTGGCTTCCCTATAACAATGTGTAATGGTGTTTGAAAATAAGCAACTCATCCAATTCCCTTTGTAAACGCCATGGGCAAGCACTCACCCCTTGAATGATCCTAATGAGACTGATAGAATCAGCTTGTAGGTGCAACTCCAAGTATCCATGAGAAATGCACAAGTCTAACACCAATTATCATTGCTTTAAGCTCAGCCTGCAAACACGTCATTTCCCCAAAGGGTTCCGCAAACCCAAACAAGAAGTTACCGTACCGATCGCGCACAAGGCCACCACCCCCACTCACTCCTAGATTTTCCTGAGAGCACCCATCTGAGTTTAAATTATATCCATGCTGCGATGATATCCACTTGACTGGCTGAATGTATAAATTCCTGTGGCGGCTAGCCAAATCGCGGACCATCCCTTCCCAGGAACAATCTGACCATTGGATCCTCGAGAATTGGACTTTGAAGATGACCGCTAGATGATGGATTACCTGAGTCACAACATCACTAACCCTCATTCTCGCCCCTCAAAAACCCCCCTATTCCTTGATTTCCATAATTCCCAGCAAATTACCGATGGTAGCATACGATATATAACCTTCAAATAGATGTTCTCGCCCTTTCTTAGCCATCAATGTAACGCCATGTGACGCACAGTAGACACTTGCCCCGCTTCACCAACACTTCTATCAAAGAACCTCCAAACAAGTCGTGCCACTTCCCCTGTACAGAAAACATGATTCAAGTCCTCCTTCCATGGATCATGGCAACAGTAACATCTAGACGGTCCGCTTATACCCAATCTCTGCAACTAGTTTGAAAGGGAATCCTACCCTGTAGCAAGCGCAGCATAAAGAAAGAGATTTTTACTGGAAGTGACTTCTGCCAGACAAATGAAGTAAGCCATGATCTGTTGGTAGCTCGTTGGACAAGTGAATAGGCCGAAGATGTAGAGAAGGTGCCGTTACTAGTCAAAGACCAGACCATTTTATCAGTTCCTCGACAAGACGGGGGTATTATCCCCAGAACTTGGCGTATGGTATCTGCATCCAAATATTGATGGAGCATGGCTATATTCCAATCCCCTTGATGTACAAAATCAGACACCAGATGGTCGTGAAAGATCTCTACCTTATTACATATCACACCCGACCCCATCCAGTTGTCGTGTCAAAAATCCATCGAACACTCCTGTAGGATCCAGCATATGTTCTCCTCCACTAATTGCTGCACCGAAATCATCCTTTTCCACGTATGGGAAAGGCAATGGCTATGCTTAGCTAGAAAAGGATACATACCTGCACAATATTTTCTCGACATAAACTCCGCCCATAAAGATTGTTGTTGCCTAAATTTCCACCATAGCTTAATCAAGAATGAATCATAGACCTCCTTAAGACCTCGCAGGCCGATACCACCCTCATCTTGTTGCCGACACAACTGCTTCCATCGTATCCAATGGAACTTTGGGCCAACGTCAGAAGACCCCCACAAGAAGTTTGCAAATAACTTCTCCAAAACCCCAAATACCCCTTTCGGGGGAGAGGAAGCTGCTAGTAAGTGTATTGGCATGGAAGATAATACACTTTTAATCAATACCACTCTACCCCTAGATGACAGAATCCGGTTATTCCATGACAATATGCGAGCCGCTACTGTATTATACATATCTGCAAAAAAGACCTTCTTCCGCCTTCCAACATACAAAGGGCAGCCCAGATATCGTATCGGGAAAACCCGCCTTTGGAATCCAATTACTTGTCCAATCAAAGCTGCTCGTTGTGACGGTAACCCAGGAGAAACCAAGAACCCGCTTTTTTGTCGATTGACCTGCTGGCTAGATACCATACAATATCTCTTCAGCGCTCCATTAATCAATCTGAGTGAAGAAGTCACCCCACTAGAAAAAATTATCACATCATCTGCATATGCAAGGTGTGAGACTATTGGACATCGAGCGGGTACCTTAAACGGGGTAAATCGCCTCTGTGTCGCTAAAGCATTTAGTGATTTGAATAACACCTCCGCTCCAATAACAAATAAAGACGGTGATATTGGATCCCCTTGACATAAACCTCGCGAGGACTTGAAAAATCCGTGCAGAGCACCATTAACCAATACCAAAAGCTAGACATTAGAAATAAGCCGCCATGTCATATCTATCCAGGACTCATTGAAACCAAATCGACAGAGAACTTGAAGAAGAAAGCACCATGAAACTCTGTCGTAGGCTTTCATCATATCTAACTTGATCAGCACGTTACCCCCCTGGTTTGCCTTCTTGATGTCTGTGAGTAATTCCTGAGCTAGCAAAAAATTATCCACAATCTGTCTCCCTTGCACTAAGCCACTCCGTTGTGGAGATATGATCCGGGGTAATATCTTAGCTAGCCTCACCGACATAAGCTTTAAGAAGATCTTGTTTGCAAAGTTGCACAAACTTATGGGCCTATACTGAGTGAAGTCCTGAGGGTTTTCCATCTTGGGAAGAAGTAATATTGATGTAGCCGTGATACTTCTAGGAAGCTCCTCACCACAGAAAAAAACTCACCATTGCCTTGTGTACATCCATGGCTACTACTTCCTATGCAGCAGTGAAGAATTTTCCTGTGTAACCATCCGGTCCTGCAGCGTTTTCCCCGTCCAATGTAAACACTATGTCCGTTACTTCCTCCAGAGAAGGAGGCTCTGTTAACATCGAATTGTCGTGATCAGTGACGAGTTTGGGTATGAGCTGCAAGACATCGTTGTTTGTTGAGCCTTCGTCTGCCGTGAAGACCTCTTCGAAGAAGGAGACAGCTGTATTACAAATTTGTGCCTCCTCCTCGATCCAATCCCTGTCCGGCTTCTGAATCCGATGAATCACCGCCGTCTCCTCTCTGCTACCACTGAGTGAAAGAACTTGGAGTTCCTGTCCCCGTCCGAAAGCCATGTCATCCTCGCTTTTTGCCTTCAAAAATCCTCCTCTATTGTAAATGATCGCCGCAATAGCGCCTTAGAACGATGCAGGTCGCAACGAGACTAGTCTGTTGGGTTTTGATCGTATTTCATCTCGGCATCCGCTACCTCAGGCTCTGCACTTTTCACTGCCTCAAAAATATCCCCAAAAGCCTCCTTCGACCATTTTTTGAGTTCCTGTTTAACATTTCGTAGCTTCGATGCCAAAACATGCAAAGGCGACCCATATACCGGGCGAGACCAACAATCCCTAACAACCTCTAGGAAGCCCTCCTTCTTGGTCCAAAAATTCAAAAAACGAAATGGTTTGGGTTTATTATCCAACCGTGTTGCCGCTGAGATGAGCAATAGGGAATGATCAGATGGATCACGCCCAAATGTTGAACCATAACATGTTGCTGCATTCCCAAGGCTAACCGATTCATTAGTAACCTGTCAAGCCGCTTCCAGATCCGAGCCGAACCCAAGCGATTATTACACTAGGTATATTTTGATCCAGAAAAACCCGCATCACACACTTGTGCCATTGACATAAAGTTAAAAAATTCCAAACCTTCCATCGGTCTGAATGGCAAACCACCCCTCTTCTCCTCTCCATTCCCAATCACGTTGAAATCCCCAACCACAAACCAAGGAATCGAGCTGGGTTTGTCTAGCATTAAAGCACCCCATAAGCTCTCCCTCTCTTGATACGTGCACTTAGTGTGACGCCCCACATCTCCCTAAGGCGGACCAAAGGGTATCCGCGGACGCCTGCCCAGCTCACGCCAGGACTCAAGCAATTCCATTCAATTCCAAACCGAACTAATCACTTCGATGAGAACAATATGAATACAATAATGCGGAAGCGATCAACTTAATAAGTCACTTAATGTATAACCAGTACATCGGGTAATCATGAAACGACTTCAATTCAAAGTACACATCAGGGCCCAAACATTTCAAGTTTACAATTTCCAAAAGTACAACCCAAACCAGGGCCTAGTCAAAATATATAACAGGAGTCTTAACAAAATTACAACGGATGGTTTCTCCATATTTCTCCAAGAGTCGGTCCTGTTAAGGAAAACAAAACTATAGGGTGAGCTAAACGCTCGTGAGGCCAAGAACACACATGCAAGCACGTAATCAAATAACAATCCCAACTTTAATAAATAAAGCCATGTCTTTTCAATAATCAATCTATCAAACAGGAAAAGTAATCAGAAACAATTCAAGGATATAGTAGCTCTCAGGAGCTAAGTTCCACTCGATCTGTCGATGTCATTCGTATACTTTCCCGCATTGACCCTCCTGTCAACCGGGTCGGTATTTCCATTTCCGTAGATCACCACTTTCTTCCCTCCGTCCACCGTACACCCCAAGGGCCCACAAGTCTATTTTTAGGGCGATACTCGACGAGTATGCCAAGCAAGACCTCTTATTAGGTCGAGCTTATAATCTCATGGCTCGCCCAAGTTCCCGACCAAGCCCATTGCCGGCTCGAGTCTAAGGACGGCCTATGAGTTTGGGCGTCCCCCATTCATTTGGTAGTCGAGGAGATTCACTCCAACGACACAAGCATTCATGACATGACATTGAATTTCATTCATTCATTCAATACATTTCATTCATTTGAAATTAGAACGAGTGCGATAAAGTACGCACCCGCCCTTATTTTTAAAACTCCCAACAAGTATCACAAATAAGCAAGTATCAAATTCATACACTTGACACTCACCGAGCAATTCAATAAGAATTATTTTCTGGGAGTTCAAGTGTCCGCGGTGAGATCCTCTTGAAGGTCTCCTCGCGCGCCTGGCAATTTAATAGCGAATAATCATACAATTAACCCACTTATCAAGAAGATTGTACATTAGTACAATCTAAGGATTATTCCGCAAAAAGGAACCTCAATTACACGTAAATCGAGGTTCAACTTGCCTTTTATCATGTACAATATTATTTGAGTTTTGATCATGAAAATCGTAAACAAAACGTTTAAGAACATCAAAAGAATAAAGAGTTTTTTTGAAAAACTCTATTTCTTTGAAGTTGGAACATTTTTCAGTTTTACGATAAATCTTTGAAAAATCGTAACTCGCTCGATATAAGTCGAGAGTTGGAAAACTTTATACCGTTGGAAACCTCTTAGAGTGTACTATATGTTCCTAGAAGACACTTTTCCATGAATCAAAGTAAAAAGTGGTCAAAATGAGCTTGAAGATGCAGGGTTGGTTCACAAGGCAGAATGAAGTTGGATTTTGGCCAACTTTGAAAATTCGGCACGATTCGCACGTTGTAAACCGGCCTCTGAATTTTGCAGCTCAATTAGTGTTGCAAGTGAAGTGTAGGACAAAACAAGCGGATCAAAAATCGGAGTTTCGAGCACCGAGATACGGTAGCCCGAAGTTGAGCAAATTCAAGACTGGATGAGAATTTTCCAGATTTGAACCTCTAACTTTAGTAATTCAATTGGGTATCGAAACGAACTTGAATCGGCACCAAAATTGGCAGTGTTTCAATACTATATGAAAGGTATCTCTCTATCGAATTTCGGGGAAAAATACCTTCAGCAAGGTCGTTAATTAGCCAACCAAAGTTCAAGAAAAATCCTAAGGCAATCTGCCTTGGACTTTCATTTTTCCAAATTTCCAACCGTTTAACCAAGAAAGTTATCCAACCATGTTTCGTTTGTGAAATAAGGGTCTAAGATATACCCATGATACCTTTGGTAAGTGTTTAATATCAAAAACATCAACTAACAAGTTCACTCCAAGATTTTTTTCCAAACCAGTCCAAAGATTAGGGTTTTCCAAAACAGAGCAGTCCACTTGATTCAGTCACAACTCAGTCATTATAGCTCGAAATTGAGCATGGCTTACGCCGTTGGAAAATACATTCATAGAGTTAAAATATCACAGAAGAAATCATTTCCAAATTCGGCACCCATCTGGTTCAAATTTGGGCATCAAGTTGCTGCCTGAACACTTCATTCCAGATGAACAGAGCAACAGGACAGCGAACTTAAAACATTTGGTTCGGCTTGGTCACAAAGAATCAGAACGTGCATTATATACCAAATTAAAGCTAGGAAGGTCTAGTTTCAAACGCCACCAACGGCACATGATTTCGACATCCGAGGACAGAGTTATAGCCAAAATACTACTGCTGGTCAGAGCATACGCGAATCAGTTTTCCAGATTTGCTGGTTTCGAACAAAATTTCATTTGCCCATTCAAACCTCATTATTTTTCAATGAAATTTTTCACACATCTAATACATCCTACAAACATCCGATTCAAGCAATTAAACCATTAAAAATTGGCCTGGAAATGGCCGAACATGGCAGGGGCAAAATCGGGAAGTTTAGCTTCTTACACCCAATGAAGTTTCCACTAATTACCCATCACTAATGCATCATTATAATCACTAAACCAACAATATAATCACCATTAATCATCACATCAGCAACACAACCCAAGTGTGGGAATTCCAAGAGCCCACAATCACATTTTTACACCATAATCAAGTAACTAAGTGCATGCATGAGCTTAATCTTGTCATATAATCTCCAAAAGATAAGAATCCAAGGGTTGATCATTACCTACTTCTTTGGTTTGCAAGGTCAGAATTTTCGGCCCTCTTGAAGCTCCAAAGAAACCGTGAAAGCTCCCTTCCTCCTTAGCTAGATGTAGTCTCCAAGTGGTTTGCTAAGAGATCTCCAAGTTTGGTGTGATTTGGGTGGATTTCGGTGCATGGATTGAAGATGAAAAATGAAGACAATGGAGAGCTCTTCTCCTTCTTGTTGTTCGGCCAAGTGAGGTGAAGAGAGAGAGAGAGTGCTGATGCAATTGGCTTCCAAAGGAAGATTCTTTGTGTGGTGCAAAATGCACCTCAAAGTCAACTTGAAATAGTGCAATTTAGGGTGCGTTTGGACTCGATTTTTCTCGCGCGTTTGGTTCACTAGTGCACTAAACCTCCAAGGCATATATATTCTTGTAATTATTATTCACTCTTAGTTGTCCCGAAATAAGGGTCTAAAGTCCCTCAAATGAAGTCGCGCGTGTGAAAACGCGTACCGTCAGTTTTACCGCTATAACGCGAAACTTTCGAAAAATTCTTATAACGATTGCACTACTAACTATCACTTGAATATTTATTCATAAGATTACCTATTTTAGGACCATAGTACAGGTCTCCAATATTCCAAGCTTATTGTGCTACTACGCGGATAAAATCTCCAAGCACTATTCACTATTTTTACGAAACGCGCTCTAGGAAATTAATTTTTGAAACGAATCATTTTAAAAATATAACGAAGTTACATTACCATGTATTTAGGTCTAATAAGACTAGAAAATATTCCTTGGAAATAAAACCCAATTAAATAATTTATTAAGCCATAAATTAGGCATAAAATAATAGTTTTTGCGAGTCCTCACACTTAGCATGAATGCATGACAAACAAATGGATATAGGAAATAACTGTGACTTTACATGAATAGACAAATACTAACAAGATTCCCCAATACTCTGGCAAT